AAGGTGGCTGGAGCGTTGGTGAGACCAAAGGGCAACACTCGAAACTCATAGTGACCATACCGTGTTCGGAAAGCTGTTTTTGGGATGTCCTCACTTTGAATCCGCACCTGATGATACCCCGAACGCAGATCCAGCTTCGAGAATTACCGTGCCTCACCAACTTGCTCGAACAGCTCATCTATCCGTGGCAGTGGGTACCGGTTCTTCACTGTTATCTTGTTCAGCCCACGGTAATCTACACACATCCGCAGAGAACCATCCTTCTTCCGCATGAACAGCACCGGAGAAGCGTATGGAGAGGAACTAGGCTGAATGAATTCCTTGGCTAACAGGTCCTCTAACTGCTTCTTCAACTCCTTCAGCTCCACTGCACTCATCTTGTAGGTTGGTCGAACAGGTGGGGTAGATCCAGGAATCAGCTCTATCCTATGATCTGCAGCTCGCTTAGGAGGAAGGCCAGCCGGTAAGTCTTCCGGAAACACCCCTGAAAAAAATTCCAGCAGCTTCTCCACACCCCATGTCAGTTCCTTATCCTCATGTGATGCTGAAACCGTTGGTATTGCTGCTTCAGGCGATGTAGGCTGAACCTCTGTGATGAGACCTAGAAAAACTGCTTCCCCCCCCCGAATGGCCTTACCAAACTGCTTTGCACTAATCAGCTGCAAGGTCATCTCCTCCTGCTGCTGCACCACTGGTAGGCATACAGATCTTCCCCCAAACAGCACCTTCACCTCCCTAGTTCTCCAATCCACCTGAGGGTTCACTGCTGCCAACCAGTTTCTGCCCAAGATGATGGCATGACTGTCAAGCCAAATCTGTTGAAATGAAATCTTCCCATGAAACTCCCCTATGTTGCAGCTGACCGGGTACAACTCAGGTCCACAGCTTCTCACCACACCATCCGCCATGCGCACCGTACTCTCCACTGTACCGCTCTGCACAGGTAACTTCAATTCATGCACCGGCCGAGAAGAAATGAAATTGAATGAAGCACCACTATCCAGCAACATCTTTACCTCCTTACCACGAATCTGCCTCCGAAGTACTATTGCTCCCTCCGACTCCTGCTGCAGCGGCGTTGAGGATGGAGTCAGCAAGGTGGGGCACTCCTCACCACCAGCAACTCACCCCGAGGTTACTGGTGAGGCTTGTTTCCCGGCTGCCTAGGCTTGGTAGGGCAGCTGAGTGCTTTGTGACCGCGTTTCCCACACTTGAAGCAATTTCCAGCAAAGCCCTTTCGCTTCTCCTTGTTCTTGTCAATCGTATCCAGCTCCATCGGTGTAGGTCCTGCACCACCACGCTGCTCCCCATGGATAGGCTGGAACATGTTCGGACTGAACCGCATCCCACGGTTGAAACGGTTACGACGGTTACCGAAGTGAATCTCATCGTAACGTTCAGCGACACGCGCCATCTCCTCAAGCGAACGACAGCCCTGCACCTCTACCTCCATCCTAACGTCGTCTTTCAACCCGCGCTTAAACTTGTCCAGCGCATCAGCCATTGAAAGGTCTGAAATTTCGGTGGAGATGTCACGAAATTCAGCGATGTAATCTGCTACAGAAGTACGCTGCCGCAGATTTGCAAGTCGATCACGCGCCCTTGCCATCGCGTTGATAGGTTCGTATGACGCAACGAGAGCTTCCTTGAATTGCTTCCAAGTTTGGATAGCAGGTCGCACCGATTGCCACCATGCAACCGCAGAGCCTCTGAGTAGGGTCCCGGCGAACGGTGCCCACTCTTGACTAGCCACGTGATTTAAGCGTAGATATTCTTCCACAAGGAAGAGCCATCGTCGAACCACCGGTTGTCCTTTCCCTGGAACAAAGGTGTCCGGCATCGATGCTCTCACATGGGAAAGAGATCCCACTACGCTTACCGGAGCTGTAGCTACTCCTTGCTGTGCAGCTGCGTTCTGCAGGGCAGCCTGCACTTCCTTAGCTACGAGCTCTCGAACCGCGGAATCACGCTCTGAATCGGCCATGGTGCAAAAATCTCCCGGCAGCAACTCACGAGGAAAAAACAGGCTCGGATACCAAGTGGAACAAGCTCAACGGCTCTTGGGCTTGTTCTAGTGTTTCTGGCTGAGAATTTCACCAAAGGATTTTCCTTAGAAGCAAGGAACAACAAACAGAAAGAGAAGCAGCAAAACTACTCTCTCTATCCTACGAATGTATTTTTATGCTACTGTACTTTACATTTCTGGACATGCGGCTCGGAATGCCGATTCGGGTGACCAGCCCTGACATCGAGCCACATTCCTCCTTCCTATTTACAATTTGTACAACTCATTGCAATTGCACACATGTAACATTCCTATTTCTTCAATTCTGGACTTCCGCCACCTGTCCCACGCGAAAGTCCCCCAAAGACAGTCAAGACACGAAACCTCTGTTTCGTCCTCTTCGCGTGGGTCCCCCACGTCCTGCTCACTTCCGCCCTTGTGCTGCCCACGTTTGCAACTGCACGCTGTCGCTGCATGACTTGGCCTCCCGTGTACTTCACGCAGGCTCCAGTGTAGTCAGCTCCACTTGTTACACTCCTACAGGCCGCGGAATCAACGTTGTTCCCCTCTGCGCGGCATTTCACGATCGATCTCTGACCGCTTGGTTTGGGGATGCGAGACGGTAGCAGGTGTGGCGTACATGAGCTTGTCATTTCTTGCCCCAAGCCAGCTGCTACGGCCGGCATCAGAGAATCTTCAGCCGGCAATGGCGATGTTGCCGATTGCGACGTCACTGATTCCGACATCACCGGCTCACACGTCAATGGTTCCGACTTCACCGGCATCAAAGTTACCGGTTCCAACGTCATCGGTTAGGACATCACTGGTTCCGACGTCACAGCTGGCACGGACGCCACCGGATCTGAGGATGACGAAGCGGACGCCGTCGGATCCCATGTCGCGGAGTTGTGCGTCGCCTTGTATACCATTACCATCGATGCAGTAGCATCGACCAGACAGGCTTCGCTGCGGCTGGCGTCGTCGACGCTCTAAATGCTGGTTTCGGCGTAGAAGAGCAATGAGTCAGTGGCCTCGCTGCAGCAGGACGTAAGGCTGAGGTTGCAAACCTGGCGGAATCTGCTCGCGTTGCTGGAGGAGCTCCGAGGCTGCAGCGATGGTTGCGTCGGTTTGTTGCTACTAAGGCTCTTCTAGAAGCTAAGAGCGTTGAAGTACGACGGGTAGTCAGAAAACAAGGCCATAGTGCTGATTCTTCATGAGATAATCTTTATGCGAGAACCGTTAGTATGCACAAGCAAGTCAGGAATCGGGGTGATAGAATAGATGGTTGGGCTGCAGATTTGTAGGCACTGTCGAGTGGGAGAACGGAGGAAGTCAAAGTGCAAAATGTGACCTCCGGCCTGGCAGGAAGGAGGGCTGCTCAGGCTCGGAAGCAGGGCAGGCCAGGCTCGGGAGCGAAAATGGCGCGAGGTGTTCTCAAGGCCCTGACCTACCCGACTTGTGCTGACTGTCGCGTGGCTGCCCAGATTCAATATCTAGGCACGCGCTGCTTCTTCAGCGTGACTCCCTGCTAGGATTCAAGCCCCTGAGCATTTCGGGCTACTGCCCACATCGAGACTGCTTGGTACAGTATTTGAACTTGAAGTGCAAATAAATCTACCGCGCTATCTGACGGCGAGAATCGGCGAAGTTCGAGCGACAAACCCGGGGAAGCCAGCCAACACCAATGGTTGACTACAGCTTGTCGTAGGCCTCAATACCTTTCTACATCAAAATAACGTACTGAACCTCCCTCTAATTGGTTACCCCGAAAGCTTCGCGTATGTGGCTTGGACCTGAACTCAGGTGCCGAACCTCCTTGCCTTGGAAATTTTCGTAAAGAGCCAAACTCGTTTTTTGAACCACTGCTGCTACACATCTCCCCAGGCTCCGCACCCCCAGACGCAGCACCCCCAGACGCAGCACCTCGAGCAGCACCTGAGCCGACAGCTACCTGAACAGGCGCAGGACTAGGGAGAGGGTCTACCTGGGACACACCTGAGGGAGCAGGACCCTGGGGCGGGAGGGGGTCTACCGGAGGGGGACCGAGACAGGGGAAGAGCGGCGGGGGCGGGGGAGGGGTAGAGCGGTAGGGGAAGAGACGGTAGAAGGGAACCGACTCGTCGAACGTGACGTCCAGAGACGGGAGGACATGGCGCGAGGTGGAGTGGTAAAACTGCCAGCTAGGCGCGTCAGGGACAAAGCCAAGGAAGACGCAGGGGATAGCACGGGGGGAGAGCTTGTCCGCGTACGTATCGCGAACAAAGGCACGAGATCCCCAGACCCGGAACACCGACGCATCGCCAACCTCCCCCGTCCAACGCAGTGTGGGCGAGGTCTCTGGCAAGGAGACACGGGGCCAGAGGTTGAGCTGATGCGCAGCGTACTGGACCGCAAACGGCCACAGAAAATGGGGAGCAGCCGCATGGATCATGGAGGTACGAGCAACCTCCATGACTAAGCCAATGCGGCGCTCAGCAATCCCATTTTGCTGAGGGGAGTCCGGAAGCGTGAACGATTGGAGAATGCCCTCCCCACAACAAAACTCCCTTAAGACGTTGGAGGAGAACTCACCACCTTTGTCAGAGTGCAGACGCAGGACAGGAAGGTCCTGGCCGAAGCGTTCGCGGAGCTGAAGACGGACAGTGCGGATCCAAGGGATCAAGACATCAACGACCTGACCCTTGCTGCGCAAGGGGAAGACCGTGGTGTACCGCATGTTGTCGTCAACAACCAGCAGAAAGTAGCGCTCGCGGCTCTGACCACTGACGCGGGCTGGGCCCCACAAGTCCATGTGGAGGGTCTGCAGGGGAGCAGTCATCGGGGGAAACGAGGAGGAGTGAGGAGCGGCGCGCTGCCGCTCCTCGACGCAAGGGAGGCAAGGCGGGGCAGGCGAGGGCGGCAGGGGAGGCAGAGACCTGGGAAGACCAGAGACAAGAAGACGAGAGTGCATGCCACGAAGACGTGGGGGGTTACACTATATCCCAACGTCACCGCTATGGGCGCCTTTGCTCTCATTGGCACGATGGCCCTCGGCATGCCGGATGCAGAGAACCGCGTGGAACCGCACTGCACCGCGGTGTACACCCCGCCGCACGTCCTACCACGCGAAGCCACCCAGAAGAAGGGGCCTGTTCCGATAGCATGGAAGATGGGAAAGAGTATCGCACCCATCAGGATAGCGGGAGTGGATGCGAGTGCAGTTGTGGTGGACCCTGAAAGGAGGCAGATGTGGGTGTCGTTTATGTCTGCAGCGGGCAAGGAGCTCAGTGCCACGGTAGTAGTCGTTCGCCTGCAGCTCTCGCTTTGCCCCCAGCGCAAGGCGCACACGTTCCGCGTGTTTCTGGAGCGGTTCAAAGCAGTGGGCATGGAGGGGAACAGTCTGCTTCAGCCCACCGTGGCGCTCAACAGGTGATCAGAGAGGGTAGGGAGGGTGGGGGATGGGGGATGGCAATGCAGAAGTGATTGTACGGGGGATGGGATGGCACCCTTGCACTCTCTTACACCCCGAAATCTCATACCCTGTGCCCTCTTGCTTACCTTATCTAATCTTGCACTCGCTCACTTCCCTATCCTCACCTGTGTAGCCATTGTCACACCAGCCACCTCTCATTCCGCCTCACCTCTCAATCCGCCCATCTCAATCCCCCCCACCACTCATTTTCCCCCCTCTCATCCCCCCCCCCTTTGCCTCTCCTCTTCCCCCCTGGCCCAGCCAGGGCGAGGGCATCCTGGCAGCGTCGCTGGCAGGCCCGTCCTTCTACCCCTTGGCTGCCTCTCATCCCCCCCTCTCTTATTCCCCCACCTCTCACCCCTCCCCTCCCCCCCTTTCAGCCGAGGCGAGGGCATCCTGGCAGCATCGCTGGCAGGCCCCAACTTCTACCCCTCGGCTGCCTACGCACGCATCAACGGCAACACTGACGTGGGCAGGATCGTCGTTGCCGGCCCGGGGAAAGCGCCTCTCAACGACTACCTCAGTAAGTCACAGCCTGGCTTGGGGATGCTCAGTAGGAGTAACGCCGGTGACCGTTAGCTGGTTTGAGCACTTGATGCATTGCTGAAGGTCACAGCCTGGCTTGAGGATTCTTAGTAGAGTGTGCCGCATGGGCTGATGTCTGCCCTCGGAGCAGTTTAGTGGGTATTCAGATTCTCAGCGCTGCTTGGGGCTTCGCGTGTGTGGTATGGTATGGTGCGGTGCAGTCCATTGCGGTTTGCTGACTCGAGAATGCCTTTGCGCTGCCGGTGACTCACCTCCCTCCACCTCACCAGAAACCATTTCCCACATCAGCTGTGTGACCCATCAGTCATGTCAGTCAGACACCAAGGGCTTTCAACACGGTGCTGCATGGGGACTTCTTGCTTGTATTGTACCTTTAGCCTGAGCCCTACAAGCCCCCCTTTCCCTCTTCCCCCCTCCCCTCCTCCCTTTTAACGTTCCCTATGTGCAGCGTACCGCTTCAACATCCTTGTGCTGCTGTACGGGGACTTCATGTCGGCCACGATAGATGAGGACGGCAATGCGTGGGCGGCAGTGGAGTATGTGGGCGGCATGGAGCGGACGGATTATAGCAACTGGGGCACCTATATCTTTAAGGTGGATCTGGGGGAGAAGGGGGAAAGTGATGGGAGCAGTGGTGGGAGCAGCAGCGGCAGTGATAACAGCAGTGGCAGCGATGGGGACAATGGTGGGAGTGGTGATGGGGACAAGTGATGGCAGCGGTAATTTTGGATCAGCAGTGACAGCAGTGGCAATGGCAGCAGCACCGCTGGTGATAGCCACAATGGGCTGTGATGGCTGTTCAGTTCATTCTAGATTTCATAAGGATGCACGTGTTTGGGGAAGTTGAGGGTGAGTGGGTTGTTGTGTGTGGGTGGGTGCGTGGGGGTGTAGGGGGAGTAGGGGGAGTGGAGGGCTAGGGCTGTGTGTGAATGCGTGTAGGTGGGGAGGGGTACTGCTGTTAGAACTGGACAGCGCACTTCGATGTGCTGCTGCTATGGCTGACAAACTTTATCAGATGTCCTGATTTTTGCATGACCTTCTGACCTTATCTAATGCTGTGTTATGATTGATGCTTGACACAATGTCAGTTCTGCAATCCCCTGAATATTTGATTGGAGGGGCTTGTACGGGTATTTGAGGGTGGTTATACTGCACGTGCTATGCATCGTATGGAACATTGTTGCAAGTACAATTGAGCTTGCATTATTGATGTCAAACGATACAAATAGTACCGTATGAGCGAGGGGGCTAACACTAGATAGCAGAATAGGAGGTGAGGACAGGGCGGTTCAGGAGGCGCTACACAGGAGAAGCTAGAAGGGAAGAAGGGAGGAGAAAAGCAAAAGCATTCATCTACAACATTTGTTTGCAGATTAATATATAGGCTAAAACAAATCCCCAACACTCACCTTTTGTAAAATTGGCGAAGTGAGAGGTGCTTCTGGTATTTTCGGGTTTCGCCAACAGCGGACCACTTCTTGCCAGCCCTCTGGTTGTTCGACCCACCACTGCGACCAAAGTCGTGATGGTGTTCCATATACTTCTCGTAGGGTATCTAGCGTCGTCAATGCCTCAATTTCATTTTTTAGGCGAATTACACACATAGCTCGCAAGCAATGCTGTTCGAGCTTCGGCTTTTTAGTTAGTACATTCCACGCGAATTACACGCCAAACAAACCCTTACGTCCTCACCGAGTTCAACGAGTCGCGCCGTGCCGATAGCACAAAAGCCACTTTCCAGCACGCCATTCAGAGCATCCCCCTCCAAGACCACTCGGGCTCGCGGCAGAGCTGTAGGCCTTCCTCCTTGGGTCAACGCCACGTTTCCTCCTCGCTCTTAGCCTTCCGTTACGACTCTCGTTCGCCCCTTGCGTTTCTCTCACCTCCTCTCTCTCAATTGTGTCACCTCCTTTCGCCTCGCCATTCTACGTGCCTCCCGCCATTCAACATATCCCCGCCTTCGTCCCCCCCCTTATTTCGTCTCCCTCCCCCGTTCCCTTCCCTCCACTCTCTCTCCCTCCCTCCCTCCCTCCCTCCTTCCCTCCCTCCCTCCCTCCGTCCCTCCCTCGCTCCCTCCCTCGCTCTCCCTCCTTCCCTCCTTCCCGTCTCCCTTCCTCCCTCCCTCCTTCCCTCTCTCCCTTCCTCCCTCAATCCCTCCCTCCCTCCCTCCCTCCCTCCCTCGCTCCCTCGCTCCTCCCTCCCTCCCTCCCTCCCTCCCTCCCTCCCTCCCTCCCTCCCTCCCTCCCTCCCTCCCTCCCTCCCTCCCTCCCTCCCTCCCTCCCTCCCTCCCACCCTCTCTCCCTGCCTCCCTCCCTCCCTCCCTCCCTCCCTCCCTCCCTCCCTCCCTCCCTCCCTCCCTCCCTCCCTCCCTCCCTCCCTCCCTCCCTCCCTCCCACCCTCTCTCCCTGCCTCCCTCCCTCCCTCCCTCCCTCCCTCCCTCCCTCCCTCCCTCCCTCCCTCCCTCCCTCCCACCCTCTCTCCCTCTCTCCCTCCCTCCCTCCCTCCCTCCCTCCCTCCCTCCCTCCCTCCCTCCCTCCCTCCCTCCGTCCCTCCCTCGCTCCCTCCCTCCCTCCCACCCTCTCTCCCTCCCTCCCTACCTCCCTCCCTCCCTCCCTCCCTCCCTCCCTCCCTCCCCCCCTCCCTCCCTCCCTCCCTCCCTCCCCCTCTCCCTCCCTCCCTCCCTCCCTCCCTCCCTCCCTCCCCCCCCTCCCTCCCTCCCCCTCTCTCCCTTCCCTTTCGCCTGGTCTCCTCCTGCCTCTCTGCCTCCACCCACCACACACCTCCGTTTCGTTCTCAAAGCCAATCTTGTTCCCTTTTTCGTTTCCCCTGTTTTTCCCGTCCAGAATTGTTCGTTTCAGGCGCGCATTGCTGCTGTGCGTTCGAATCGATGGCTTCTAAGAGCAACGCGTCAATGTGAGTGACCCGTGTTTCGAGTCTATTTTTGAGGCGCTTAAAAAATGGAGTCAATGTGAGTGGTTGGTGTTTTGAGTCTTCACACAGTTCAAAATATTTGAGTCTCATAGCTCTTTAATTCCCCTCGCCCTCTTTCTCTCTTTCTCCTCCGCTCTGTCCCCCTCCCCATTCCGTCGCTCCTCTCACTCCCTCTCTTTCCATGCTGTTTAGATATGTGCTTTTATAATGAAAGGAAAAAAAACAGCGTATGGAGCCTTGCTCGTGTGCCTAAACGCGTTTGATGCTCCGCTTGGATGGTTGCATTGCATGAACAAAACTCTCACAGTGCTCTCTGTGCTCATCTCTCTTCCTCCCCAACCCCGCTTTCACCCTTTCCGTTCTCCACTGTCCACCACCAGCGCCTCCTCATCCCAGCACCGCCCGCCAACCGGCATCGAAGTGCTCTTTGCACTCCGCCCCCCTTCTGCTGCTGCGCCTTCCTCTGCCGTTCCCCGTACTGCCCCTCCCTCCTCTGCCGTTCCTTCCTCTGATTCCCCTCCCTCTGCTGCTGTTCCCTGCTCTGCCGTTCCTTCCTCTGATTCCCCTCCCTCTGCTGCTGTTCCCTGCTCTGCCGTTCCTTCACCTGACGCTGCTCACTCCACTGCCGCTGAAAAGAGCTCGTTACAAGGACCCTCTGCTGCTCCCTCCGCTCCCCCTGCTAAGACCTCGTTAAAAGAACCCTCTGGTGCTCCCTCCTCTCTTCCTACTAAGACCTCGTTACAAGCACCCTCCCCTGCGCCTTCCACAGCCACTCCCACGGTTGCCTCCCCTGCTGCAGCCTCCACAGCCTCTCTCAAGAGCACGTTCAGAGAACCTTCTGCTGCTCCTCCCCCACCTGCTCCCCTCAAACGCCCGTTAAAAGAACCCTTTTCTACTATCACCACAGCCTCTGGCAAGCCAGGCTGCTCCTCCGCCAGTGCTGTCACAGCTCCTCACAAGAGAGCAGAAGCAGTAGCCCCCACTGCTCCCCCCACTGCCCACTTGAAGACCTCGTTACAAGCACCCTCTGCTGCTCTCTCTACCGCACAATTCAAGACCTCGTTAGAAGCACCCTTTGCTGCCCCCTCCACTGCTCCTGCTAAGAGTGCATCAGGCGCCCTCTCTGTTTTCTCCACTGCTGCGCCCAAGTCCTTGTTTAGGAAAATCCCTGCTGCTGCTTCCGGCCAAGCCCCGATCAAGCATTCTTCAAAAGCATCCCTAGCTCCTCCCGCCACTGCTTCTGCAAAGTATGCTTCAGAAGGGTGGCGGTCGAAAGCGGGCGGTGCAGGTGTGGGGAGGGGTGGTGGTGCGAGGGAGGCAGAGGAGGGTCCGTGGAGAGAGGGCGGCAGACTTGGAAAGGGTGCAGAAAGAGAAGGGAGTGGTGGGCATGTGAAGAGTAGTGGGCTTGTGAGGAATGCTGGGGTTGTGAGGAGTGGGAGCAAGGAAGGTAGAGGGTATGGGAAGAGTGTGAAGGCTGGTGGCAGGGTAGGGGCAGGGAGAGGTGGAGTGGACGGTGCAGATGCAGGGAGAGGTGGAGCGGACGGTGGAGATGCAGCAGGGATTGCAGGGAAGGTAGACAGGGGAGTGGCCAGAGCTGATGGTGGGGGGTTAAGAGTGGGGGTTGAGTGGAGAGAGGGGGGCCAGCAGGTGAAGAGTGTGTGGGGCGTGGGGAAGGGGAAGGAATCAAAGCCTGGTGGCAAGACAGGTGCTGGGTCAGTTGCAGGGAGTGTGGGGAAGCAAGGCACTGGAGTGGGAATAGGTGGTGGTAATGGTGGTGACGGGGGTCGATTGGAGGGGAAGAGACAACAAGAGGGTGCTTGGCTGGCGAAGGGTGCTGGTGGGGCTTCAGGAAAGGTGAAGGGTGTGGGGCCGCCTGGGCATGCTGTGAGAGTTGGAGGTGTAAGAAAGGAAAATGTGGGGACAAGTGCAGTTCGCAGGGGGATGGTCGCCGGTGGTGGCGAGCAGAGAAGAGAAAGAGATGCGGTTACAGGAAGCAAAGGGGCACCAGTCACAGGAAAGGTGTTGGGAGGGAAGGGGGTTGGAGTGAGGGAACACGGAGTGAGGGAATACGGAGGGGCGAAGATGGCACCAACAACCATAGGCTTCAAACTGGGAGGCAGAAAATTGGGAGGGAGCAAGATGGGAGGGAGCAAAGACGGGATGAGGATAGGAGCAGCAAGGGAGATTGGTGCAAAGAGAATGTGTGAAAGCAAGGTGGTAGAAAAAAAGGGTTACTCAAGACTGGTAAAAGTTGGAGCGTTGAGGGCAAAAGCATTGGAGGGAAAGCGTGAGAAGGAGGGAGATGAGGGAAGGGACAGATGGAGGGATGACTGGAGTGAGAGGAGAGAGGATGAGAGAGGGAGGAGAGGGGATGAGAGTGAGAAGAGGACAGACGATGAAAGTGAGAAGAAGAGAGAGGATGAGGGTGAGAAGAGAGAGGATGAGAGTGAGAAGAAGAGAGAGGATGAGAGTGGGAAGAGAGATGATGAGCGTGAGAAGAGGAGAGATGACGAGAGTGAGAAGTGGAGAGAGGATAAGAGTGAGAAGAGGAGAGAGAATGAGAGTGAGAAGAGGAGAGAGGATGAGAGCGAGAAGAGAGAGGATGAGGGTGAGAAGAGGAGAGAGGATGGAAGTGAGAAGAGGAGGGAGTATGAGAGTGCAAAGAGGAGAGAGGATGAGAGTGAGAAGAGGAGAGAGGTCGAGAGTGAGAAGACGAGAGAGGTCAAGGGTGACAAGAGGAGAGAGGATGAGAGTGCGAAACGAAGACAGGATGAGAGTGAGGAAGTGAGGGATGGCCGGAGGGGGGAAGAGTGGGATGCTACCAGCAGGGATGTGGAGAGGACGAAAGGGAGAGACAATGCTAGACAGCAGCTGTTGGAGCGTGGAGGGGAAGGTAGTATTGATATCAGGCAGCAGTTCTGGGGAACGAATTGGAGTACTGAGGAGGAGGGATGGGGGATTGATGAGGAGGACTGGAATGAGGAGGAGGAGGGGAAAGAGGAGGACAAGCAGGAGAAGGGGGGGGAGCAAGAGGAGGAGGAGGAGGAGGAGGAGGAGGAGGAGGAGGAGGAGGAGGAGGAGGAGGAGGAGGAGGAGGAGGAAGAGGAGGGGAAGGGGGAGAAGCAGGGGCTAGGGGAGAAAGAGGAGGGAGAGGAAGAGAAGGGCAAGGTACATGAAAGAAGGGAAATGACTCTGGGGATGGAAATAGGAAGCGAGTTTTGTGATGCAATCAGTGGGAGGCTCGGAGGAGCTAGGCAGGTATTCACTGGTGTTGAGGAGGAAGGTGGCAGTGCTGTGACTCTGAGAGATAGTGCAGCCGCTCACAGCACGGCCATCCTCGCTCCTCCTCCTCCCTCTGCTGAAGTGCTGATGATGAGAGCGGATGATGCAGGAGAAGGGGAAGATGATAAGTCTGTGCAGCTCACAACTGAAGGTAGTGATTCAGGAGTGTGGATGATGGTTGATGAAGTGACGGAGGAGGTTTCTCGAAAGGACCAGGAGCAAGAGGATGGAGGGGTGAAGGGAGAGAAGAAGGAAGGGATAGAGGAAAAGGCAAAGGGAGAAGTAGAGGAAGGGGAGGAGAAGGTGAAAGGAGGGGAAGAGGAGGAGAGAAGGGAAGAGCAAGAGGAGAGGAGAAGGGAAGAGCAAGAGGAGAAGAGAAAGGAAGAGCAAGAGGAGAGAAGGGAAGAGCAAGAGAGGAGAAATGAAGAGCAAGAGGAGAGGAGAAGGGAAGAGCAAGAGGAGAGGAGAAGGAAAGAGGAGAGGAGAAGGGAAGAGCAAGAGGAGAGGAGAAGGGGAGAGCAAGAGGAGAGGAGAAGGGGAGAGCAAGAGGAGAGCAGAAGGAAAGAGCAAGAGGTCAGGAGAAGGGAAGAGGAAGAGGAGAGGAGAAGGGAAGAGCAAGGAGAGAGGAGAAGGGAAGAAGAGAAGAAAAGGGAAGAGGAAGAGCAAGAGAGGAGGGAAGAGGAGAAACGAAGGGAAGAGGAAGAGGAAGAGGAAGATGAGAAAAGGAGGGAAGTGGGAGACGAGGAAGGAAGAAATGAGGGAGAGGAGAAACGAAGGGAAGGGGAAGAGCAGCAAAGGAGGGGAGAGGGAGAGGAGAGCAGCGAAGAAGAGGAGGAGGAGCAGCAATGGCAGCCCCTGACCGATGGGCGAAAGGCAGAGCCAAGCAGTATTGGAGGGGGGGCTGAGGAGCAACATACCTTGGTAACCACCTAATTTCTCTGCTTTCAATGAGCATGCTCACACTTAGTGAATAGGTGTGAGCATGCACGTAAGCAATTCGTTTCTCAATCTTGTGGCTATCGGGTGGGCGAGCCTTGGCGAGGTGAACCTCTCTTCAATCTTCCTCCTTTCTCGGGAAGCAAATATGAGCATGCTCACACTTAGTACAAAGGTCCTTTATTTACTAAGCTCTGCCGTATGAGTGCTCTGCCGTATGAGTGCTCTGCCGTATCTTCACCACCTAAGCTCTTCTGCCTGAAAAATAATCTTATGATCTGACAGGACGTTTGATCTCCATGCCGTGTGGATGTTCTTGGCAGGACATGATGGGTGGCGGCTTCCGGACAGTCAGGAGGCGCGTGTTGCGCTGTGCCATGCAGCAGAATGGCATGCATGATGGCATGCAGTGTGACATGCAACAAGATAGCATGCAGTATGAGATGGATGAGGAGGATGCTGCATGGCTCACAGCCTACAACAGCAGACTCACCCATGCACATGCGCATGCGCATGAGTGTACAAGAGCTGGGAAAGAGCAGTCAGGGAGTGGGAGTGATGAGGCGTGTGCGAAGCTGGGTCTGTCAGAGGAGGCGTTTGAGGCGTGCAGGACCTCTCTGGACTTGCACCCTTCTGCCGCTGCTCACTATGCTGCTCCTGCTGCCGCAGCTGCTGCTGATGGTGATGGTGCTGCTGCTGCTGCGGCTGCTGCTGTTGGTGTTGCTGTTGATGATGATGATGATGATGATGATGATGATGATGATGATGATGATGATGATGATGATGATGATGATGATGATGATGATGATGATGATGATGATGATGATGATGATGATGATGATGATGATGATGATGGTGTTTCTGGTGATGTGGATGCTGCCTGTGCACGTGCTGCTGGGGGGGTGGTCCACGCTGATGGTTCTGATCTCGATAACATGCCAGGAGGCTTGAGGGAAGCAAGGGAGGAGGGCGGGGTAGGAGCGCCACAGGGGCCAAAGACCATGCGGCATGATGCCGAGGCACTGCGATGCGATGTGTGCTTCCAACCAGGAGAGACACCCTACAACCCTGTGAGTGGCGCACCATGCATGCATGCATGCACTATGCTTACTGCCTGACTCAGAAGCCATCATGTAAGCAAGTGTCACGGGGGGCTAAGGCAGTGGGCCATGATGCGGAGGTGGCACTGCGATGCGACGTGTGCTTCCAACCGGGGGAGACGCCCTACAACCCTGTGAGTGGCACACCATACATGCATGCCTGTGAGTGGCGCACCATCTATGCATGCATGCATACAGGCATGCTCATTTTGCCATGCAGAGGCGTGTGGCAGCCACAAGTCCCCGCAGTCACCAGCATGCGACATGCTTCTCTCTTACACCTGACCCTCTCCCCCCGTTCACCCTCTCCCCAAACATTCACACTCTCTCTCCCCTCCCCCCATCAGTTCCTCTGCTGCTCTCTCTGCGCCACAGCCGTCCACCAGCTCTGCTACGGCGTCGTGCGCCTTCCTCCCCTCTGGGCTGCCGTTTGAGTCATTTTTCACCTATTTTTCCCGCCAATCCGCCCCCTCACCGCTATCCACCTCTCTCCACCCATCCACCCTCTCCCTCCCCCCCCTCCTCCCATCAGTTCCTCTGCTGCTCCCTCTGTGCCACAGCTGTCCACCAGCTCTGCTACGGCGCAGTGGGCCTTCCCCCCCTTTGGGCTGCGCGCTCCCTCCTTCCCCCCTCCCTGCACGCACCCCTGCCCCCGCTGCTCCCACTGGCTAGCGAGGGGAAGGTAGAAGGGGAAGGGTTGGGCGGGGAGTCAGATCAGAGCAGGCATGGTGGTGGTGGTGGTGGTGGTGGTGGTGGTGCTGCTGCTGCTGGTCAGGGCGTGTATGCTGGTGAAGGGGGAGGTATGCAGCTGAGCAAGCAGGCAGCGGCGAGGCGGTTCAAGTGGCGCTGTGTGCCGTGCCATCTCCACGCCAGAGCATGCAGCAGCGGCGGCGCTGCTAGCAGCACCTGCTCGCAGCCGCCTCCCCTCACGTGAGTATGCGTGCATGTAGGGGGGTCTCCCCATTAGGTGGTTCAAGTCAAGTGGCGCTGTGTGCCGTGCCATCTCTACGCCCGAGCATGCAGCAGCAGTGGTGCTGCCAGTACCTCTTCCCAGCCGCCTCCACTTACGTGAGTATAGGTGCATTGAAGGGCAGAGGGAGATAGGGAGATGCCAAGTGGCGCTGTGTTCGTCCCGTGCCATCTTTACGCCCAAGCATGCAGCAGCAGCGGCATCGCTGCTGCTGCTAACGCCTACTCCCAGCCGCATCTGCTGCCGCTGCTGCTAACGCCTACTCCCAGCCGCCTCTGCTGCCGCTGCTGCTAACGCCTACTCCCAGCCGCCTCTCCTTTCGTGAGTATGCGTGCATGCAGGTGGGTTTGGGTACCCCTCTTCCAGATGGTTCAATTCAAGTGGTGTTGTGTGTGTTTGCCTGTGCCATGTGTTTGCGAGAGCATGCAGCACTGCTGCTAGGAATGCTCCTCCCACGTCCCTGCACCACATGGCCCTGCACGTGACTCTCCTCCCACCGCCCTTCACCTATATACAGCCACACCCACCAAAACGTCACCTCCATTCACGTGACTCCCCTCCTCTCTTCTTTCCTGCTTTGCGATTCCGACTGCTTGCCGCCTCCATCCTGCCCCTCCCCAGCTGTGCCTTGTGCCGCGTAACCGGAGGAGGTGCGTTCAAGCCGTGCCTGGATGGTCCTCTGCCAGCCGATGCCGAGAGGCATGGAGAGTGTGGGGGGCGGGGGGAGGGTGTGGGGCTGGCAGAAGAGCAGTTGACGGTAGCAGAGGGGCGAGTGGGAAGAGCAGAGGGGGCAGGGATCAGAGCAGAAACTGGTGGAGAGCTGGGTGGTGAAAAGAAGGGGGATCGGGCCTTGCTGAGGAAGCGAGCAGAGAGCAGGCAGCAACGGAAGGGGAGAGAGGGGCAAGAGCGACTGGGACACGTTTCCAGGAAGGATGCGGGACGGGATGGGAAAGAGAGTGAACGGGGAGGCATCGAATCAGTCCGTGATGGTGGCAAAGTTGAGGGGAAATTGCGGAGTGAGAGGGAGAGCGGAAATTTGAGAGGACGTGAGGCTAGGGGAGAAGAGGCTAATGGGCGAGGGAGGCAGGGGAGAGGGAGAAGAGAGAAGCGAGCAGGGGGGGATGAAGAGCAGCGGGTGATTGGTGCATTTGGTGCAAAGGGGAAGAAGCAAAGGAGACGCGACAACCGTGTGGACACAAGCAGCGGCAGCAGCAGCACCAGTAGCAGTGGCAGCAGCAGTGGAAGTGAGAGCGAGAGTGGTAGCAGTAGTGAGAGCGATAGTAGCAGTGGCAGTGGAAGCAGCAGCAGGAGTGGGACCAGCAGCGGGAGCAGCAGCAATGGGAGCAGCAAAAGCAACGGCCACCAAGGCAGGACACACAAGATCAGAAGGTGGGAAGGAGGAATGCAAGGGCAGGGTGAAACAAACAGAGTGGGGCAGGGGAATGGCAGGCACAGGCAAGAGTGGCAAGGCAGGGTGGGCAAGAAGAGAGAGGGCAGCAGCTGGCAAGAAGTGGGCAGAGGAATGAAAGGAGAGCGTGAGATGAAGGCAGTGGGTGCTGCTGGTCCTGTCGCGCTGAAAGAGGACGGGGGTGAGGTGAAGGAGGGAGCTCAGCACAGGGCGCTACAGAGGGAGCATGGCAGCGGTGGGAGGGGTGTGGCAGGGGAGGTGAATAGAATCTGCAGTGCAAGTGGTAGCGGCGGGGGCCGGGGGAAATGTGACCCGAGCAGGGGTCAAGATGACAAGGCCATGTATCGACAAGTCAGTGACGCGTGTCAAGAGGGCAACACGAGGCTTCAAGGAGACATAAACGTGCCTCTTTCATCGAGAGATATGCCACTTGTGTCGAAGCGCACGCTAGCTGCATCAAAAGACATGCCGCCTGCGTTGAGGCATGTGCTCTGGGTGCATGTGACATGCGCCCTCTTTGACTGCCATGTGTTCTTCGGCAGTGCTGAGTCGCTTCAACCCATCATGTGAGTCCCTTCAACCCATCATGTGAGTCCCTCCAACCCATCATGTGAGTCCCTCTCTCTCTGCCCGCCCTTCTCTCTTCCTCCCTTTCCATTCGTTCTCGCTTCGCCTCACCCTTCTCCCTGTCTACCCCTCCCTCCATTCCTCTCCTTCTCTGTCCCTCACCCCTTACTCCCTTTTTAACGCTCTCCTTCCACACACAGGGGCGTGGCAACTTCTGCAAAGAAGAGGGCTGAAAGCAGACAACATTTGGCAGCAGCAGCGGCGGCAGGAGGTGTTACAGCAGCAGCAGTGGAGCGCTGTGCATTCTGCCATCAACCCGACGGCCCTCTCGACCTGATCCCGTGTGCCTACCCTCTCTGCTCCACCCGCTTTCACGTCCGCTGCGGCCTGATGCATGGCTGCTCCACTATTGTAAGACTCGCTGACGACTCCCTCTCATTGCCTCAGGAAAGGTTTGTTGTTGTGGTGTGGGGTGGTTTTGCTGAATATATATGCAAACCCTAACATGTTCTTTTTTCTTCTTTTTTCGTGCCTTTGAAGCTCTCTCAATCCTCATTCTAACCAGAAGTATCGTCCTATTTCCCTGCTCTCTTCTTCCCCCATCTCCCCCCACTTCCATTCCCCCTCGTGCCTAGGTCCGAGAGACCGACTTGTACCAGAGGCAGGTGACGGCCTTCTGTGCCTCACATGCTGCAGGTGTTGAGGGTGGCGAGGAGGAGGCAGCTGCTCCGACACAAGGGCCTGCCACACATGGGACTGCCGGCCGTGTGGCAGTGCCATCTTTGGACAAAGGCCGTGGTGGGACCGAGGTGGAGAGGAAGCCGAGGCATGCAGACGGAGAGAAGGAAAACGTGGGCCCAGTTAAAGCGGCTGTGGATGAGATGGCTCAGGAGTGGGAGTCGGGGTTTCAGGGGGAGCACATGGGGGCGGTGAGGGAGCATCTGGGGGCGGTGAGGGAGCATTGGAGGAAGCGAAGGGAGGCGAATGGAGGCATGCCGTCACTGCTTCACCTCGCGCATGTGAGTGGCGGCCCTATGCCATGCTTGCGAATGGATGCAATGTGTTGTGCCTTTGCGAATCGCCACGGTGCCACCATGCACCTTTTGGCTCGCATTGCACAGAAGGGTCACCTCACCCGCTCTCTTGAGGCGCCTCAAAAGTCACATGCCATGCTTGTGAATGGATGCATCGTGCCGTGCCTTTGTGAATCGTCACCATGCGCCATCAGGCTCGCATGGCACACAAGGGTCACCTCACCCGCTCTCCTTGAGGATCCCTCTCCAATTCCTTCCCTCTTCGTTTTCTTCCCTCTTCGTTTTCTTCCCTCTTCGTTTTCTTCCCTCTTCGTTTTCTTCCCTCTTCGTTTTCTTCCCTCTCCGTTTTCTTCCCTCTTCGTTTTCTTCCCTCTTCGTTTTCTTCCCTCTTCGTTTTCTTCCCTCTCCGTTTTCTTCCCTCCCCCTCTGCTTGCTTGCCCATCAGGCCCGAATGCACCAGCTAGAGGCCGCTCAGCTCACACCAACAACTCCCCTCCACGAAAAGAAAGTCTCTCCTTCCTCCAACCTCCCCAGTCATTGTGTTGCTGCTGCCTCTGCTGCTGCCACTGCTGCTGTTGCCCCTGCTGCTGCCACCGTTGATGGTGATGGAGGTAGACGTGGTTACGATGATGGTGGAGATGGTGGGGTGAGTGCTGATGGCCCAAGGGACCCGTGGGAGATGCAGCAGGTGCAGGAGACAGAGGAACATGACGGGAGGAAGAAGGAGAATGGTAAGGGGAGAGCAGGAGTGGTGAGAGAGGTTCGAGATGATATAAAAAGAGGGAGTGGTGAGAGGACGAGAGAGGGTGCTGGGATGAGGGAGCAGCGAATCGCAGTGAAGGAGGAGTGTGAAGCCAAGCCTCTCGCATCACCACCACCACCTCCACCTGCCTCAGCAGCAACGTCTATTGCTGCAGCAGCAGCGACAGCAACAGCAGCAGCAGCAGCAGCAGCAGCAACAGCAGCTACGGCAGCAGCAGCAGCAGCGTGTGGTACTGATGGGAACAAATCTGCATGTGTGTGGTGCGCGGGCCACGGCGCAGCAGTGCAGTGCTTCCTCTGTGCCCTCCGCTTCTGCTACCAGTGCTTTAAGCGCCGCAAGGGCTACGGCGTCAAGGGGTGGACCACGGCCCTGCGCCAGCCCTCGTACACGTGCCGTGGGTGCCTTGGGGAGGAGGCACGTGCGGATATGAGCGTGCATGGGGGTGCGGGCATGGGTATGCCTAGGGATGCGGATGTGCATGGGGGTGTGGGTGTGGTTGCATGTGTCACAGGGCAGACAGGTGCTGGTGGTCATGCGGGTATGGGTGTGCGGTATAGGGACGAAGGGAGGGTTGGGAGTGAGGGGAGAGGGGGGGCATTGGTGGGAGTTGATGGGGGAAGTGTGGAGGGAGGTGTGGAAGGAGGTGTGGAGGGAGGTGTGGAGGGGGGTGGGAGGCAGAAGAGGTTGCAGGAGGTGATGTGGGGAGAAGGGGGCGGTGAGGAGGTGGTTGAAAACGGTGGCAAGGTGGTTGAAAACGGTGGCAAGGTGGTTGGGGAAGGGCGTGTGAAGCGAGGGAGGAGGCAAGTCGAGGAGGAAGAGAAGGAGGGAGAAGAGGAGCAGGAGGGAGAAGAGGAGAGAGAGGAGGAGGAGGAGGAGGATGAGGAGGAAGAAGAGGAGGAAGAGGAGGAGGAGAGGCGGGGTGGGAGAGACATTGATTTTGAAGAGGAGATAGGGGTGGGTCTGCTGAGCAGGGGTGGAGGAAGGCGAGCAGGGGAGAGGGAGAGGACGAGCAGGGACATGGAGAGAGGGAGAGGCAGGCAAGTGAGAGGAAGAGGCAGGGGAGACGGAGTGAGGGCTAGTGAATGGGTGGCAGATGTGCCATGCAGTGAGGAGGAAGAATCAGAAGGGGTGAGATTTGGAGCAAGGAGCAGGGGGAGAGGTGGAAAGGTTGGGCGCAGGGGAAGGGACGTGTGGGAAGTGAGTGAGGGGTTGGTTGAGAGGAGTGAGTGTGACGAGGAGGAGGAGGAGGAGGAGGAGGAGGAGGAGGAGGAGGAGGAGGAGGAGGAGGAGGAGGAGGAGGAGGAAGTGTGGGGGCGAGTCCAAAATAACAGTGAGTGTGGGGGGCCAGAGGAGGAAGGGCAGGAGGGCAGTGGCGGGGAGGAGGAAGGATTTGTGCTGGAGGGTAACTGGGTGCATGTGGTGGTAAAAGGGGAGAAGGCTGAGCGATTGCGGTTGCAAGAGATAGTGCATGTGTGTGTGGTGAGCAGGGATGAGTTGAATGCGGTGAACAGTGAGAGTGTAGATTTTGAGATGGAGGGTCAGGAGAGAGTGGGAACAGATGGTGTTAAGTGGGAAGGAGAGGGGGAGGAAGAGAAGGAGGAGGAGGAGGAGGAGGAGGAGGAGGAGGAGGAGGAGGAGGAGGAGGAGGAGGAGGAGGAGGAGGAGGAGGAGGAGGAGGGAAGGGAGGAGGAGATTATTAGTGACGAGGGAGAGAGGGCCGCAGTGCGGGGCTTTGGGGAACAGGAAGCGGGAGCAATGGTAGTAGATGAGGAGGAGGGAGGGGAGGGAGGGGTGGGTGAGGAGGAGCAGTGGAAGCAGGAGCTGTGGAGTGAGTTGGATCGGATGGTGGCGGAAGTTCAGGATGTGGGTGGCGGCCACGTGGGTGGAGGCCACGTGGGTGGAGGCCATGTGGGTGGAGGCCACGTGGGTGGAGGCCACGTGGGTGGAGGCCACGTGGGTGGAGGCCACGTGGGTGGACTTGCAGGGGACATACTGGCGAGTGGAATGGAAGAGGTGGAGGGACACGTGGGGAGGGGTGAAGGCAGGCACCGGGAGAGAAAGGATGGCGAGGTGGGAGGAGTGACATGGGGCCATGTGCATGGCATGGCATCAGGGGATTCACATGCCCATGCACATGCCCATGCACATGCCCATGCACATGCCCATGCACATGCCCATGCACATGCCCATGCACATGCCCATGCACATGCCCATGCCCATGCCCATGCACATGCCCATGCACATGCCCATGCACATGCCCATGCACATGCCCATGCACATGCCCATGCACATGCCCATGCACATGCCCATGCACATGCCCATGCACATGCCCATGCCCATGCCATCCCATGCACATGCCCATGCACATGCCCATGCACATGCCCATGCACATGCCCATGCACATGCCCATGCACATGCCCATGCACATGCCCATGCACATGCCCATGCACATGCCCATGCACATGCCCATGCACATGCCCATGCACATGCCCATGCACATGCCCATGCACATGCCCATGCACATGCCCATGCACATGCCCATGCACATGCCCATGCACATGCCCATGCACATGCCCATGCACATGCCCATGCACATGCCCATGCACATGCCCATGCACATGCCCATGCACATGCCCATGCACATGCCCATGCACATGCCCATGCACATGCCCATGCACATGCCCATGCACATGCCCATGCACATGCCCATGCACATGCCCATGCACATGCCCATGCACATGCCCATGCACATGCCCATGCACATGCCCATGCACATGCCCATGCACATGCCCATGCACATGCCCATGCACATGCCCATGCACATGCCCATGCACATGCCCATGCACATGCCCATGCACATGCCCATGCACATGCCCATGCACATGCCCATGCACATGCCCATGCACATGCCCATGCACATGCCCATGCACATGCCCATGCACATGCCCATGCACATGCCCATGCACATGCCCATGCACATGCCCATGCACATGCCCATGCACATGCCCATGCACATGCCCATGCACATGCCCATGCACATGCCCATGCACATGCCCATGCACATGCCCATGCACATGCCCATGCACATGCCCATGCACATGCCCATGCACATGCCCATGCACATGCCCATGCACATGCCCATGCACATGCCCATGCACATGCCCATGCACATGCCCATGCCCATGCCCATGCACATGCCCATGCCCATGCACATGCCCATGCACATGCCCATGCCCACACATTTGCATCTGTTCGGTGTAACACGCATGAGCCCCCTCATGTGGACACGCATGGGGGTTTGCAAGTAGAGCATGGGGGGCTTGTGGGGCATGAAGGGGTGAGGGCGGAGGGAAAGGAGGGCGGGGTGGGAGAGGAAGGGCAGTGTGAAGCAGACGGACGCACACAGCGAGTTCAAGAGGATGGAAGGGAGTTGGCTAGGGGGGTAGTGAGTGTGGATGGGAGTGTGGGAGGTGAGGGTGGCAGCATGGCAGCTGCAGGCATGGGTGAAGGGCTCTCTGCTCCCTGTGACTGGGGCGGAGGTGACGGGGATAATCACGAGGCTGTGGGAGAGGAGGGGTGTGGTGCAGGGCATTCGGGACTGGCGAGTGGCATGTGGGGGGATGGGGACCAGGGGCATGGCTCTTGTGGAGCAGATGGGGGAGGGGAGGGTGGAGCGGGAGGAGGGGATGGTGGGGATGATGGGGATGGAGGAGATGGTGGGGATGTGGGGGATGAAGGGTGGTGGAGCCGAATGTTTCCTGATTCTCCCTTAGCCCCTCACGAACAGCCTCACACTCACCAGCAGCTGCCCAGTCTCGAGCTACACGACAGTGGAATGACTCTTGGCTCGATCCATCCTCCTTCACAGCTACCCCTTGATGCCCCTCATGCTCTCTCTCCCCCTGATCTTCCTGCCGTCCCTTCCCCTCATGCACATGCAACCCTGTCCCCTCCTATATCCTCTTCCTCTCCCATGCCCTCTTCCCCTTCCATGCCGCCTCCCCATTCCGTAACCCTATTCGCTGCTGCACCCGCTACTACTGCTCCAGCCGCCATGCCATTTCCCTCCCATGCCACCCCATCTCCCTCCCACGCCACCCCAAACCTCCCCTCGTCTCCCTCCCGCTCAACGCCTCTCATCATACCCTCTCCCTCCCACACAGCCCTGCCAATTCCTCCATCCCCCTCCCCAGCGCCTTGCTCCATCCCTCCCCACGCCCCACACTCACTCATAGCTTCGGCCCTCCCTCTGCTGCCTCCTGCTCCTCCTCTGATACCCCATGCCCTGCCTCTGCCTGCAACACTTGGTGCAGGAGGGGCAGAGGCAGAGGGGCAAGATGAGGGAGGCGAGGATTCGGGAGTTGTGGGGTTGCAGAGGGGTGTCGGACAAGGGATGGGCGAAAGGGAGGGGTCAGATGCAGGGGAGGTGGGCGGGAGGTGGGGCAAGCGGCAGAGGGTGGAAGTGGGGGGATCAGCAGCAGAACCGGACAGCTTGGAGGTGCATGGCAGTGGTGGCATGGTGGGGCATGGTAGCAGGAATGCGAGGCTCAACTCGGGTGCAAGTATGAAGGCAGATGTACGCGAGCTTATGACGGGGCCAAGGGGCAGCAACAGGTTGCAGCATTCTAGCAGCAGTGATGGCAGTGGTACCAGTGATGGCAGTGGTAGCAGTGATAGCAGTGACAGCACCAGCAGCAGCAGTGTCAGCAGTAGTGAGGACACGAGTAGCACCAGCAGCGGCGACAGTAGCAGCAGCATGAGTAGCATGGGTGGGGGCAGGCAAGCCACTAGACTTCCTGGTGGTGAGGGGAGCAGGATGAGGGAGGAGCAAGGGAAGAATGCAGGAAGAATGGTGGCTGGGGAAGGGACCTCGGGAGCAGGATCAGCAGAGAGAGGAGAGCGAGGGGAGGAAGTTGGAACCAATAATGGTGGGAAGAGGGAGGAAATACCAGGAGGGAGAGGAGAATGTGACAGAGCGAGAGGCACACCTGTCCTGCAGAGGATGGGGGCCGAGAGGGGCAAACGAGGTGGTGGTGATGTGAGGAGAGCACGTGAGGAGAAGGGGGGGAGGAGTGTGGAAGGGGAGAGGGGTTTCGATGGGTCTCGGAATTCGGGAGGGGAAAGGAGTTGGAGTAAGGTTGAGGGAGGTAGGAGGGCGGAGGCGAGAGGGAGTGGCAGCAATGAAAGGGGAAGTGGTGAGTTGAGAGTGTGGAGAGGTAGTGCGCCAGGTGGGGGTAGTAGGGAAAGGGTCCCTGGAAGCAGATTGAAGGGAGGGGAGGTACAGAGGGCGAGGGGAGGAGAGGAAGAGAGTGCAGGGCGTGAAGTAGGGTCGCTTGGGAAGAGGAGGCGAGAAGGGTCTGTGTATGGGGGGAAACGGGGTGATTGGCGGGAGAGGCGTGGAGATGGGCGGGAGAGGAGTGGAGATGGGCGGAAAAGGAGTGGAGATGGGCGGGAGAGGAGTGGGGATGGGCGGGAGAAGAGTGGATATGGGTTATGGAAGGAGCTTGCGAAGGGGGGAAAGGAGGGGAGGATGCAACAGGGGTTGGAGGAAGACATGGGCAAAGAGGGGAAAGGCATGGAGCATGTAAAAGGTGGTGAAGAAGCAAGACCGAGGGAGGATAATGTGAAGGCAAGTGAGGCAGAAAAAATAGAGGTGAAGGGAGACGTGGGTCACAAGGAGGATGAAATGGGCAGGGGAGCGAGAAGGGGAAACGAGAGAGGAAGAGAGGTGAGAAGGGACGAAGAAGGAAGGGGGTTGAGAAGGGACGATGAGAGAGCAAGGAGATCGAGGAGAGACCATGAGAGAGAAAGGGGAGTGGGAAGGGACGATGTAGGGAAGGGTGCTCAGGCTGAGGGGACGGCAGGGAAACAGCGGGAACGAGAAGGACTGGGTAGGGGTCGAGAAGAGAGGCAGAGGGATATCGATAGGAGAGCCGATGGAATGAAGGATAGATTTTGGAACAAGCGGAAGCATTTGAATGATTGGGACAGGGGCAGGGTGGTTGAGAGGAGGAGAGAGAGCAAAGATGGTGGGGCAAGAGAGAGGGACGGGCGGGGTCGAGGCCTGATGAAGGAGGGGGAAAGTGGGCTGGGGAGAGATGGAATGCGTAAAGACAGGGAAGCTGGAAGAAACATGGTGAGGGATGATGAGAGGATGAGAGGAAGGGGAGATGGGAGGGTCAGGGAAAGGGAGGATGGCGAGGGTTTGAAGAGAGGGAGCGAAGGGAGCAGGGAGAACAAGCAGTGGCATGGCAAGGATGGAAGGCGATCGGAGCGGGAGGGTGACTTGGCAAGAGAAAAAGGGATCACACTCAATAAGGGAAGAGAGGATGCAAGGCATGGATCGAACATCCAGCAGGGTGAGAGGAGCTGGATGCATGAAAAGAAGGGCTTTAATGTTGGTGATGGGGGTTTGAATGTGAGGGAGAAGGGGGGGGCGAACACAGGAGGAGGGGCAGCAGGTGCAGTGGACCAGGAGAGTGTGAGGCGGCGTGGGGAGGGGGAGAGGAGCAACAGTTGTGGGAGTGGGGCGGAACGGAAGTTGACATTCAGACGGCAAGAGGGGGGGGTGCATGAAAGGAAGACGGAAGAGAGCCAGCAGAGCAAGCAGGAAGGGCGTGTGCACGAGTCGAGACGAGAGGAAGAGGGGAAGAAGAAGGTGGGAGTGGATAGGCAGGAGGGTGTTGGAGGTCGTGGAGGGAGTGTCGGGGAGGAAAGCAGCTTGAAGCACCGTGGGTCTAGCAAGGATGAATACACCGTGCGGCATGACCAACCTCCTAAAACATTCAGAGCTACCCGGAGATAGAGCACGCTGGGGGAAGAAGGGGGGGGGGAGAGGGGGGGGAGGAGGGAGAAGGGGGGGGGGGATTTTACTGTAATTATATCAAACTAGTCTACTTGAAGGACTCTGCCTCGTCATCATCCAGGGCAAATTATACATGTACCTTGTCGAGCTATTAACACATAGCCTGCGGCTAAGTGTGAATTGCACAGCAGCTTAAGGTGAGGTTGTACTATATTGCTGTTTGTTTCTTGTACTCATACTTTTGTTTGTGTGCTTGGAATGTACTGTACATATATGGAGCTGAGCAGGGTGGGGAACATCAAGGAAATTGGTGGGGGCCAGGGCCTCAGATTCACTTTTAGGGTCGTCGACCCATCAGGGTACCCTTGTGTAGAAACCCTGATTGACAGTGTTCCTAAAAAAAAAAGCCTGAAATATCAGTGTTGCCTTTGAAAAAAGGCTAATGCATCAGTGTTCAATAATATAAAAGGCTGTTATGATTAGAAATCTCTATTTTATGTACTAAGTCAGTAGCAGCCTTCCGAAACATTGCTAAGCTAACATGCCTCATGAATCATCACCAGCCGTGCTATCATCACTGCCCTTAGCCTTTGGTTCTTCTCTCTCCTCCTCAGCTTGGGACACCAGTACGTATAGTGCTTTTTGACACACACACCCCGGCTTCACTTCTGCTTGCGACACATACACGTTGAAGCTGCAGGGGCAGGGTTGGGGGGAGGAACCGGATTGACAGACAGGGTGAGGCAGGGAAAGAGAGAAAAGGAGGGAGAGAGGAGGGAAGACTAGCACGGTTGGGGGGGAGACGACCGGGGGAGAGAGGGAGTGGACGGAGTGCGGGGTAAAGGGAGCGGGGGAATGGATGGCGGGCGCGCGGGTCATGCCGTCGCGCAGCACGACGCTCTGCGCACCGCCCGCGGCGCAGATGGCCTTTCAACCGCGGTTCGTGCTGGCGACGAGGCAGCCTTCGGTCGTCGCCATTAGCACGAAAAACTACGCGTCGTCGAGTCGTAGCGGGCCTACGACACCGACAGGAATTGCCACGTGGCCGACGACCATCTCGCAGCATGCGCTGCGGATCGCGTCGAACGGGAGCGATGTGTTCGGCGAGACAAGAAGAGGTTCGGCGGCGCTCGCGATGGGTTCGATTCCCAACAGCCCGCCGTTTCGGGTGCTGATGGTGCCATGTATTAGTGCAGATGAGAAAGCACGAGAGGAATCGGGCTGAGAGGGAGGGAGAGAGAAACAGGAGGAAAAGTATCACGAGAGATTGGATTGGAGGGAATGGGAGCATCAATGCTTGCCAGCACAGCCAACGGTGTAGGAACCCTCGCAGCCCTCAAGCACCACATGGTGGCCACATTCCGATTAGCCAACGCTTTATGCTGGAGTGAAACTGCCCAATGGAGTGCTGGCACCGCAGGAATCTGAGATTCCCTGTAATCGCGGGCAAATCCACACGGAACAAGTAAGAATTGGTTTCAGTGTTAGTTTCGTTACAACGTTGTGGAATCAGTGTACTTAGGAAAAAAAAGTCTGAAATTTCAGTGTGGCCTAACAAAAAAGGCTGAAAGATCAGTCCCACAAAAATCTCAACACTGATTTTTCAGTGTAGGTAAAAAAAGGACTGCCAAAATCAGGAATTTCAGGGTTTTTTTCCTGATATCTGAGGCCCTGGTGGGGGCAGAGTTGAATTCGATTCCAGGCTGGGAATTCGATTCAGAGAATGCAATTCTAGCGGGAAGTCGGTGCATGCCTAGTGGGCCACTAGGACCCGGCTAGCACCTAGAAGCTATCTCGAGCAGCACTGCTGCTACGTGACTTCGGAACTAGAGTTAGCTTGTGGGACAAGCAACCTAGGCAGAAGGATGGTTGGGACTTAGGCAGGGGAGGATACCTGCTCCGTGCTTTTTTCTTGTTTGTTTCTCGTAATACTGCAATTCGTTTTCCCAAAACCACAGAGGCAAGCAGTTAAGAGAAGCTCAGACAAACTGACGGAGCCCTTGCGAGGGAGAGAATTTAGTCTTGTTGCAAACAAGCAAAAAGTGGTAGAGGAGCGTACGGGCGTAGAGGGCCGGTGTTAGCCACGGAGTCGGGGCTGTGAGGCATGAATGATACTGATCCAGATCTACACATCCATCAGTTGCGGTCGGGACAGAGGTATCCCGCTAGGACTATGGAAGGTCAGGGACAGCCGCCGGTGAAGCTTGGATTTTGTGCAGATGGAGGAGTTAACGAAACGCAAGGAGGAAAGGACCCTGATCTGCCGAAGGAGGGTGGGAATCGCCAGGAAAATTTGCCTAGCTCGGTGCACAACTCGCCAGGACGACATAGCAAGGCGAGATCTGGGCAGGAGGGATCACAGCAAGGAACGCCTGAGCGCGGCGATGCGCACAGACGGGAATCAGAGCAGAACTTTAGAGAGGAGAATTTCCGTGGTCGCTCCGGAGGGCGCAGTGCCACCAGGGGGCCCGAGCAAGGGGGTTGGCCTGCAGGAAGCAGAGAGAGGGAAGCCGCAAGCTGGGGGACTGGGAGGTCTATGAACACGGCGCCTCCAAATATCGAAATACCATACCGCTTCTCATGGGCACCAGGTGAAGAGCCAACACTGAAGAACTACCTTATGATGATTGATGATATACGGTACACCTGGGAGAGAGAGGGGTCCGATAGATTTTTTCAGAGGATTGGGAAGGACACTGAAGGGGGAGGCACTGACACACTACAGAGTGGAGCGTCAGGGGCTGTTGATGCAGTGCAAGAATGGGGACTTCGCGCAAGGAGAGATCACTCACAGATTTTTGGACACGCTGCGCGAGCAGTTCCCCGGGCACTCAGCTGAGCGTATGATAGATTTTAAAGACTTTAAAGGGGACGGGCCGAGTCGTTGTTGGCATACTACAACCGGCTGCTGGAGTTGGCTGAGGATATGGGCTGCCTTGAGGAACGTACCTTGGTGAAGAAATTCCTGGGGGGGTTGGAGGAGGAGCTGATGAACGAAATGAAAACGCGTCTGTACGCTTTGGGGATGAAGGCGAGACTCAGGCATGTGTATCAAGTGGCGAAAGAAGTGGAGGAAGGGCGGAGGTTCTTTGAAGGCTTGAGAGGAGCAAGCTCCAGCCGCGCAAACGAGCGAAGGAGACCTGCCTGGGCAGCAGCTGAAGGAAAGAGGGGGGAGAAAGAGCGCGGAGAGAAGCCCTGGGAAGACCCAAGGCAGTGCCATAAGTGTGGGGAAAAAGGGCATATACGAAAGGACTGCACAGTGGGCATTGTATGCGACACCTGTGGCGTGGAGGGGCACTTCAGGCGAGATTGCCCCAAGGCTCCCACCTGCACCAACTGTGGCAAGAAGGGACACACGAAAGAAAGGTGTTACAGCCGAGGAGAGAGGGAGAAAGGGAAGTCCACAAGGGAGCTGCAGCTGGAAAGGGAGCTGGCAAAATTAAAGGCACAGATGGAGAAGACTTAGGTCAGTGAGGATCCAGAGAAAGCGTTGCTAGCCTGGGAAGAAGACGAAGAGGAATCAGATGAGGAGGAACCGGAGTATGGTACGATGGCATTGCAACCTAGACCTCGGGAAGAGTTGGGGCTGAGGAGCAAAGGGGTAGACGGCAGAACCAACAACAAGACCTACGAGAGGAGAGGCCCCAAGATACAACAGAGTGGAGATGAGAAGCGGACAGCACGGCGACGGCCTGAGGAGAGGATGGTGTGTCAGCCTACAGCGTTGGTAGCCGAACCAGGAGCTGTGGCAGTAAGAGGCATACGGGTGGATAATGCGGTGGTGGACACTGGGGCGCAGAGTGTGCTGATTGGGAAGAAGCTGGGGGAGCAACTGAAGGCTCAAGGGGACTTGGAGCTGGTGGAATGGGGATTACTCATCATGACGGCAGAAGGGGGAGCACCCAAATGGATGCCTTGCACCAAGGAGCCGATCGAGATTACGCTGCAGCCTGGGGAAAAGGGAGAGACCAAGATACGAGTGCAGTGCGGGATGACAGAATCGGACGACTACGACATCCTGCTAGGCATGGAGTTGCTGTTTAGGGTGGGAGCGACAATATGTACTTGGGAGGAGCAGGTGCAGTACCGTACTGAACGTTGGAGGGAAGGGGGTGAGCTGGGCGAACTGCCGGTCAGGTTTGTCAAGACAGAACCCAAGAGGGCCTGGAGAGCAGGGGCGGTCAGGGGAGAAAGGAAGAAATGGGATGTAGAAAGCGCACTTGCAGGAATGGGGGCAAAGCTGAGTGAGTACAGTGTGACGCTGGTGGAGCTGTTTGGAGGCATAGGGGCGGGGCTTGCAGCAGCCTTAGAGGCCGGCCTGGAGGTTAAGAAGTGGCTTTACATAGAGATAGACCCGGAGGTGCGCAAGATGGCGTGGAGTCATGTCAGGGCCTTGCAGGAGCGGTATCCAGCGCAGCTGCGGAAGGAAGTCATAGTAGAGGCTATGAAGAGAGAGCATTGGGATGTAAGGGAGATCAGCAGGCAGGAAGTAAGGAGCTGGGGAAAGGTCAACTTACTGGTGGCCGGGTGGGAGTGCCAGGGCACTTCTCGGGCAGGCAAGGGAAGAGGGCTGTAGGATGAGCGCACGGGGTTAATCAAGAAGCTCCTGGAGGTCATGGCCTGGATCAGGGAAGAAGGAGAAAAATACGCGTACATCTTGGAGCACGTGGACGTGAAGGGAGATCCTCGAGAATCGGTGCGAGCCGTGAGGGAGATGGTAGAAGCATAGCTAGGGAAGGGAGTGAGTTGGGATGCAGCCCTGCACGGAGCACGATGTCACCGGTCACGGTGCTACTGGCAGAACGTGCTACCAGAGGAAGATCTGCGTGCAAGACTGTCTAGGGTGGAGAGGTATGACCGAAGGATAGTGGAAGATATCCTGGAACCTGGTCGCGTGGCGGCTCCAGTGTAGAAGCCGGACCATCCCCTACAACATCAGTGCAACAGGATAGGAGAGGCACGACGAGCCTTGCCGACACTGGTCGCTTACCCAGGAGCAA